GTGCTTCTGCTTTCTGCTCATGTACCTGAAAAACCTTTTCTTACTGTTCTTGGTATTTTTGACCAATTTCAGTTCTAGCCGAGCCTTAGCCTTCCTGACTGCATTTCTACATGTCATAGTAAGGTTCCTGTAGTCCTTGATGGGTATTTGGCCACCTTTCTGTAGCTGATATACTGCTTCTTTGCTTTTACATGCACCCAAAAGCTAATTATTAAGACAGGGTGATCTCTAGTTCTGCCTTCTTCCTTTCCCTTTGTAGGAGGTGCACTGTTCATATCAACTGCAATTCACTGAGATGCCTGCATCTAGCTTAGCAAACAAGAATGTATTTTATATGTATTCTTAAAAGCAGAAACAAGACAAAGCGTAATGATCTATCATGATCACAGAATTGCAAAATCACAGAACTGTTTAGGTGATAAGGAACCTCTTGAGATCATCTTGTCCATCCAGCCCCTCCCTTGCTCAAGCAGGGTCATCTGGAGCAGGTTGTTCGGGACCATGTCCAGTCAAGTTTTGAATATCTTCACAGATGTAGGCTGTTGGCTGTTGTGTGATGGCTGTAAATTCAGAAAATTGTATTCGTATTTACTTATTGAGACTGACTAATTATAATACTGCAAAACTAACACAGACTGCTGCATTCTTACACTTTGTTAATTAGAATCCATAACAAGGGATTGTGATCATGTTTTACTGAAAGGGAATAAAAAATTCAAGCAGCCTCATTGGAAGAATGAAAAAAAAAAGATGCAAACAAACCAAACACCCTTAATAACCATTGAGGCAAAATGCTGCTGTTCATTATTAAACTTCTGGAATTTAGCACTGAACCCTTTTGGAAGAGCTGCTATAAAAAATCTGAGGCTTCATCTGTAATCCAGGCTTTTATCTCTTCTAGCAGGAGAAAATAAATGACGAATATCCAGGCCTGACTTTTATAGTGTATTTCAAATACTTACTGGAGTGCTGGCAACTCCAGCAGCTGCTGTCTGTGAGTATTTTGGAGGTTGCCCTTTCCAGATTCTGAGGATAATGGTAGAAAACAGACCTGATTATACTGAGTTGACATTTTTATGGCCAGCGCTAATTTTATCAGGGCCTTCTGTGGTTTTAACTGAAATGGTTCTATACTAATTTCAGTGGAGAAACTATCAAGATTCAAAAAAAACCAAACAAACATGCTCACTCTTAAATGACTCCCCAGCAGACTTCAACAAGACACAGTGAGCTCTGCCACATCTTTTTCAATGAATGGAATCTGAGCTGAGTGCTGTTCTTCTGGGTATGACCAGTGGGAGGCACTCTGCGGTGCTACAAAATAAAGTGCAACGCATCAATGAGATAGTCCTTCCAACATGAAATTTGCTATCAAAGCACCTTACTAATACAAAAATACCATGGCTTTAAGATAAAGTTAGATAAGAGGATGATGATTCTTTTTAAAGATATTGCAGGATATTTTGCTCATCGCCATCACAGTTTTATCACTCTGGCACTGCCTAGGATGCTTGCTCTTAAACATTTTCCTAAGCTACTGTAGAGGTAACAAATGCATTTTTACCCATCTGTATTCCTTCCAAATAACTTCCCAGCTATAGCTTCCATATAACTTCCACTGCTTCATTACTTTAATTAATTTTAGCTGTCATAGTGTTATGCTTTCTAGGACTGACATAGAAATTACACAGAACTCAACCACAATGTGGTGCCTCACATAAGTGAAGCAGGGAATTCGAAATACACTCATTTTCATTTAATTATCTAATTTATTTCTGAATTCTAGGCTCAAGAGTCAAAGGTTGTGGTACCCAAGGAATCTTTTACAGAGTCAGTGTTCTCCACCAGACTTTGGAAAGGCTTGAGGCAAGGCTTAAGAACAGGATAGCTAAAAAAGAAATGAGAGAGGATGCAGATCTCTGCATACTTCTCTATAAGGCAGTTGAGTCTAATTGCAGCCCTTGGCTTGACTTGGATGGCCTCAGTTATTTAAATGGTCAGCTGATCTTATGCTGCTATCACTGTTTCCTAATGGCCTGTAGGACGGAGAAAGAGAAGCGAGATATTATCAAAATCTGTCCCAAAGCTTTTCACCAAATGTGATGCAGCTCTATTCCAAAAAGAGTCTTACTATGATTTCTTGCAAATAATTTTTGAATACTCATTGCAGTATAAATACTTACATGGAGATAAGGAATCAGCAGTTGGTATCAGTTCTTCCGTAGCATAGTACTTGAGGTCCAGAGGCAAACAGGAGCAACTTAGTTGGTAATTCTTATTCATCCATATAGATATTATCTGTTGTGCTAACAGTTGCTGGCTCACTTTCTCTAAAAGGGAAGGATGAAGCAATGTGTGATTTTTGCAATTACGCCTATTTCATCTATCTTATTAACTAGGCAAACCATAAGGAAATAAATCTGTACTAGCAGTTAATGATCAGTTGGTTAGTTGACAGCTGCAGGCAAGTCCAGTGATATAAAAATTATTGTCATTATGAACAGCTCCTACTAAGAAGGTTTTTTTATTAAAAATGTGAATACATTCTGTTTCAACAGAGATATTGTAAAATTTGTCTTTTCATGATCTTTAATAACCAGTTTTCTGCCAGAATGACCCAGAAAGCTATCATATGTGTTTTTAATTAAAAATTATTTTAATATATACTATATCCTGTAACAGGCATAATTAAGCTATATTTAAAGCACTATATGCAATGCATATGTATTACAACTAGGTATTTAGTTTGCCGTGTGTTTTATTTGTCATAAGTTAAAAGAGTTGCAAATGAAACTCATGGATGTGCCATAGTGGTGTTACAAAGTGCTTACATACTGTTGTTGATTGCACTATTTTGATATGCATGGATTCAAGGCAATATAATTGCAAATATATCCTGCAGAATACACTTCACATTTAAAGATATTATTGGCCACTGCCTTAACTACACCAAAGTAGGCCCAAAGTGGGTAAATAATGGTAGAGGGATGCCTCTGTTCTCACAGATGGGGACTAGTACATGGGTGCTGTAGCTGACGTCTGTTCCAGAAGAATGGATCCTAGTTCAGACGTTTTCAGAAGTATGGCAACGTGTGTGGTCAGCTTAGTTATTTCAGATCCTGGTTTAAAAAACTAGTTGCTAATTTTTAAAGGTTTTCAACAAACCCTTTGACCGTGTTATTGCCAACTATATGTGTATTGACATTGTATATCTTTCAAATCTTGGTTATGTACTTGATAGATAACACATCATATAGGAAAATTAAGATCTAAAGAAAAATCTTAAATCGTTATTAAAAAAAGAAGAAATATAGTTTGTGTTTTTATCTAGATATTAACATTTTAGTGGATTTTAATGAGGATATTTTCAAGCTATTTCAATATGCATGACTTTTCAAGCAATTATTTCAGTCAAATTGCTCATCTCATTATGAACTTCTACAAATACACAAAAATTAAGCAATTACGATTGCAAAGCAGTTGGTTAATTTCCGTAACTACTACATGATAAGCCTCTTACTTACAGAAATACAGATATATTTAGGTAAGGGTTCCCTACTGTTTGTAGCATGCATAATAATGTTAGGCAGTGGTCTATATTTGTTGTCTTGAGGCTTTGTTGCCAAAAAAGGTAGACATCCTATGGGATTTTGTTTTTTTTTAAATAACCCTAGTTTTCCTAATTTAATATTGACTTTCCAATCCTAATTTGGTTAGTTTATTTTAAAAGTGTTTCTTGCTAAAGCTTTACAGCTACAGAACAACATATACTCCGGTAGGGTTATATAATAGGATGTACCTACATAACACAGTAAAAGATAATTCTTCATAAAGGTAATCACTTCAACCTCAAGGCACTTAGGCTGTAAGAAGATGAACATTTGGAGCACAAGATAAAGTTTCCCTGCTGACATTTTTTGGGCATGCAGCAGCCATCAGAAGCAGCAATCACAGGGCAAGTGCTGCTTGTCCCATTGCATACTAACTTGAGCGGATTTAGTCATTCTCAGGTAACTATACTTATCAACTTGTATTAGCATGTATGCATCACAAAAATGGATTAAAATCTTAATGCAGAAGTAGTTACTCATAACTAAGACATTTTTCTGCAGATAGAAATAAAGCTGAAACCCTAACCCTGAGATGTCAGTTGCACCAAATTTCAGGAATTCTTTTCAGAGCAAGGAGCTTGGTGGTGAAAAATCTGTGTGATTTACTTGTTCTACTTTGTGTAATTTTTCTATAACTTTATTTCTGAAATAGCTGGAATGCATCTTGTGGTAAATGTTCTGACACATGACAGATTGGCAAATCATTGGGAAAATGGCCCTTAAAAATGCATTTTGTCAGGCCACCTTCATTATAGACATCATAGAATTGCTTGTTTTGTTGGTTTTTTTAACAGCAAAATCAATCAGATGAAAAATCATACAGACAAGTCATGGCTTGAATTATAATAATGTACATTCTTTCAAATATATTTCAATTATTTCTTGAACATGAACAATTGGTTTTGGTTTGGTCTTTTTTTTCTTTTCGCAGTATTACTCTTTTGTTTTGCAACCCACAGATGCCAAAAAAACCATGACTTAGGCCCTAGAAAATCAAGGGATTGACATACATATATTACACGTGATGTTTGAGTATTAACTATGAAAGATTCACTTAATCATGCTTGCTTTGTTTTGGATCTTCAGAGACTTCCTGGATCTCATTTCAAAGTTTTATCAGTTATTAGAAGTCTAAAATAACACTTTTTGTGAACTCCTCTTTTCAGGACAAAGTACCTTATTACAGGAAGACAGGCCACAAATGCTACCATAACATGAGATCTTGCTGTAGCAAAAGCAGAGTAAAATGAAATCTGTTATCACATACAGAACATTACACTATGATAAAATGTTAGTTTATCAAAAAGAAAAAAGGAAGTATCACAGTAAACTGATATAACTAATTTTCAAAAATTTCAGAATACCATAACAATCTGTTCTGTCTTACAGGAATCCTATTAGCTCCAAAAGAAAAACTGGACATCCCAGTGTTATTCATGCCAGATACAATGCAGATGTATAAGGCTGTGGTGGTAATTCATGTAATGAGGCAGAATGGTGAAAACTGGCCCTATGAAGATTCTGCTGAATTAAATAAAGATTTAAAAAGGTAATGTATTCTATTAGGAAAAGAAAAAGCGGTCAAGGATACTAAATCCTAACATTATTTTCCCCTTTGGATATATATGTGTAGCTCCCAAGGGCAATCAAATGTCTGATTTTGAGGGCGAAAGGTATCCAACATAAGCTTTTAATGTACCTGCAAAGTATGCAGATTTAGGGTAGGAATTTTATCTGTTTCAATACCTGCTTTTTCTAACTTAAAATGAAGAAAATGTAAGGTACTAGCTGCCATTGCAGTTATGGATCTTGAGTAAATGAAAGCTTTTAGACACTTCTAATATTTCAGTATATTTGGGCTAATGATGATTGTCCTGTTGATATGTTTATGTATTGCATAAACTTTGTTTCAGTGTAGACATGACATAAGAGAGTGTAGACCAGGCCAAATGTTCTCATATCCTGACAGAATAATATTCAAATACTAAACTAAGTGGATATAAATTACTGCTGTTCTGATTTGGTTGGATTTTATTTCAAATTTTTCTTATGTGTGTTTAGCATTATAGAGTACAATAAAATGTAGTCTCACCTCTTCAGCAGCTCATAAATCTAGATGACTTCCTACAAAAAAAATCTCAGCAATCGTATTTATACTCTTCATGTACTTTCCAAGCAGTGTTACTGCAGCAGAGAATGGGGGAATTAAGAGTATACTCTGGATCTATCCACTGCATGGGATAACTGAAGCAACGCAGCAGAAATTATTTTCGGGTAGGTAATAACTTGAAAATAATGAACAATAAATTTGAGAAAATTAAATAGTCATTTGTATTCTCACCTGCTTGATCTTGAGAATTTGCAGTAGTACTTTCCTTCATCCTAAAAAAGATAAAATCACATATTTAAAATAAAATTTCTTTTCCCAAACCACAAAGAAAATTTAGACCTGTTATTTTGTTCATATTGTGGGTAAAAGGAGCCAGGAGCCATTGAAATTCTCAAGGCTTGTACTGTTCAGCATCCCAGTTAATGCTGAGTTAGAGAACTGAAGGTAAATAAAACTTATTTTTGGGATGGTAAATGCTTATAGTTTTGGTGCACCTATTTTTTCAAGGTGTTATATAATCCCAGAATTGTGAAACAGCAATTGTGAACAGCTTTTTAAATCCTTAACCTAGATGAAACTAAAGCTCAAGGTATAGATGAGGGACAATTTTACACCAACTTGTCTTTTCATCTTGTCTTGTGATGAGTTAATATATTACCTTTCTACACTAAATAGACTACAGTACTGGAATAACTTCTGGAAAACGATAGAAATAGACATTTTTACTGTCATTAATTTGGTTTACTTAAGGACCCTTTACTTGCAGACAAATGCTAGTGTTGTGATATTAATTAGAGCTTTCATCTTCTGAATTTCCACTTTAATACTTTAAAGAATGAAGCAGAATATTATCATGCAATCAACTGTTGCCCAAAATGATGGTTTTAACGGGTCTCATTGCCATTAATGCTATGTATATTGATGTCAATGTTTGTTGTGTTATTTAAAGCTGTTCTGTAATTCACTGGCAGACTTTGAGATAAATATCCCATTTATTTGGCTGTTGTTTTCATTAGGTATAGAAATTATGAATTAAAGCTGTTAGCATTCATAAATTGCTTAAGTGGCATCAATTCTATATATGATCAGAAACCTCAGTAGTATCAAACCTTAAGTATCTTTAAATTCCTAAATGCTTCTTTAAAACAGCAAAACTAAACTGTAGAATATTTATAACTGTGTTATCTAGTACTTAATGTTCAGTAAAGATTTGCAATGCATACAAGGAACATTGCATTCATTTTGAATACATATCCCTTTTTGTACACCACTGTGTTATGTTTGGCTATATGTTTGGGGGTCTATTTATATATGTATTTTATGGGGTTTTTTTCTAAGGAAGTATTAGATCTTTCATTGAAAAATGATCTGGAAAACTAAAGTACCTGTTTGTAAGTATACTTATGAAACAGATTCCATTCTTGCCTTGATTCTGAAAGTCTATGGTTTTCAGTTATAAAATGACTTTTTTAAAATCCCTGTTGAAAGATGAGTCCAAAGCAGGTGATTTACAAGAATCCTACTTTGTGTTTAAATAATTGTTTTTAATAATGGTTGAAATATTATTGTCAATTCTTTTAATGCAGACAGTTATTAGAATTGCCTGGAGGCTACAAGCTGTTATGTCAAAAACCAAAGCTACTTTACTAGTATATTAGGCAGTTCATCTTTTGTGTCATACTTATTTGCATCTTAATATACTTAAACTTCTAGAAGTCCCTTGGCTTAGTATCTCATGAGACCAATTAAAATGTTCAGTGTTCACAACCTATGTAGTACATGTTAAGTAGGATACAACTTGGCTATCTTATAAAAGTGATTAAAAATGGAGAATCATTCAGAGTTTTTTTTTTTAATTCTTGTATCGTCAAAGCAGTATACAATAATTTAGATTGAAAGGGACCACTGTAAGTCATCTAATAAAATCCTTTGCATAAAGCCAGGTCTAATTAGATCAGGTTGCTCAAAGACTCGGCCAGTCAAATCCCACAGGGATATAACTTTTATTCATAAATATTACTTAGGCATTTAGGAAAAGGAAAATGTAGACTCATTTCTTGTTGTAAGATGAGCTGTGATATATAAAATGATGCAGATACAAAGTGCACATAGTAATCTGAAACACTTGGTAAACTAGTATAATCACAGAATCACAGACCTCTAAAGATCATCTAGTCCAACCCCCCTGCCAGAGCAGGATCACGTGGAGAAGATCACAAAGGAACACATCTAGGTGGGTTTTGAGTGTCTTCAGAGAAGGAGACTACACAACCTCTCTGGGCAGCCTGGTCCAGTGCTCTGTCACCCTCACAGTAAAGAAGTTTTTCCTTATGTTTAAGTTGAACCTCCTGTGTTCCAGATTGTGACCATTTCCCCTTGTCCTGTGACTAGGCAAAACCAAGAAGAGTCTGTTCCCATCCTCCTGAAACCAGGGCAGAGTAGATTTGGAGGATAACCTCCCTTGACCTACTGGCCTCAATCTTCTTAATGCACCCCAGGATGCCATTGGCCTTCTTGGACATGAGGGCTCATTGCTGGCTCATGGTCAGCCTGCTGTTTACCAGGACTCCTAGGTCCTTTTTCCCTGAGCTCGTCTCTAGCAGGTCAGCCCCCATCCCAGTCCAATCCCCCTGCCGGAGCAGGAACACCCAGATGAGGTTGCACAGGAAGGCGTCCAGGCGGGTTTTGAATGTCTGCAGAGAAGGAGACTACACAACCTCTCTGGGCAGCCTGGTCCAGTGCTCTGTCACCCTCACAGTAAAGAAGTTTTTCCTTATGTTTAAGTTGAACCTCCTGTGTTCCAGATTGTGACCATTTCCCCTTGTCCTGTGACTAGGCAAAACCAAGAAGAGTCTGTTCCCATCCTCCTGAAACCAGGGCAGAGTAGATTTGGAGGATAACCTCCCTTGACCTACTGGCCTCAATCTTCTTAATGCACCCCAGGATGCCATTGGCCTTCTTGGACATGAGGGCTCATTGCTGGCTCATGGTCAGCCTGCTGTTTACCAGGACTCCTAGGTCCTTTTTCCCTGAGCTCGTCTCTAGCAGGTCAGCCCCCATCCTGTACTGATACATTGAGTTCTTTCCTAGATGCAGTACCCTACACTTGCCTTTGTTGAATTTCATTAAGTTTCTCCCTGCCCAAATCTCCAGCCTGTCCTGGTCACACTGAAGGGCAACACAACCTTCTGGTGTTTCAGTGACTCCTTCCGAGTTTGTATCATCAGCAAACTTACTGAAGGTATACTCTGTCCCATCATTCAGGTCATTGATGAATATATTGAACAGGTCTGGATCCAGTACTGACTCGTGATGAACACCACTGGACACTGGCCTCTATCTAGACTCTGCCCCACTGACCACAACTCTCAGAGTTCTGCCTATCAGCCAGTTCCTAATCCACCTCACTATCCAATAATTCAATCCACACTTCTTAAGTTTGGCTGTGAGGATGTCATGGGAGATGGTGTTGAAAGCCTTGCTTCATCGAAGCCCTTCCCTCATCAATCCATCCACTTATGCTATGATAAAAGGCTATCAGATTGATCAAGCATAACTTCCCCTTGGTGAATCCATGCAGACTACTCCTGATAAGCCTCTTTTTCTTAATATGAGATGATGCCAAGAAGAAGCAATTCCATCATCTTTCCAGGGATAGAGGTGAGGCTGACTGGTCTGTAGTTACCTTGGACCTCTTTCTTGCCCTTTTGGTAGACTTGGGTGACACTGGCTTTCATCCAGTCCTCAGGCACCTCTTCTTTTCTCCAGGACTTTTCAAAGATGATGGATAGTGGCCAGGCAATGACTTCTGCCAGCTCCCTCAGCACTCGTGGGTGCATGCCATCAGTGCCCATGAATTTGTAGCTGTTCAGTTTACTTAACTGTTCTCTAATCCAATCTCTTCAGCCAAGGCAAAGTCTTCCTTTTTCCTGGCTTCCTCTGTGGTCTTGAAGGCCTGGGACTCCTGAGGGCTGGCCTTAACAGTAAAGATGGAGGCAAAGAAAGCATTCAGTGAATCCATTTTCTGTGTATCCTCCATCACCAGGGCACCCCCTTCATTCAGTAGTGGGCCCACATTTTCTCTAGCCTTCATTTTCCTCGAATGTACTTGAAGAAGCCTTTCTTCTTGTCCTTGGCTGCCCTTGCCAGGTTTCGTTCTAAGGAGACCTTAGCTTTCCTTGTTGCATCCCTACATCCTCTGACAGCATTCTTGTATTCGTCCCAAGTGGTCAGCCTCTTCTTCCACTTGACTTTATCCAGTAGCTCCCTGCTCAGCCATGAAGGAGACTCCTTACTTGATTTCCTACTCATCGGATGCTCTGATCTTGAGCTTGACGCACAGACAATATATACAGACAATGTCATTTATTCTGAAACCTAAAGCTGTGCATCTCAAAAAAAAGATGTGTTTTTAACTATTTCAGTAACTCTTTGTCATGGAAATGCTTAGAAGAGAGCTATAGAAATTACTTAAACCCTGTTACGTAGGAAAAGACCAAGAAAAAAAAAAGATGTGGTTTGTTGGGGTTTGTTTGAGAAAATAAATTACTTGAACTTGATGTGCAACTGTCTTTTTTCCAAAATAATGATAGGGAATCAAGCTCCAGAACTGAAAGTTGAAGCTAAATAAACATGCTGTAGAAGTAAGGATTTCATTACCCTTCTTTTAAACACTTTACGTAATTACTTACCAAGATATGGTTCTAAATTACTTATCATTAAATCATGATGTTTAGTTCAGTGTTAATTTTTAAAGCCTTTTTGGGTATACTTCTGATGAAAATAATATTTGGACCTTGAGACTGAAACTGTTATGTGTTATGTTAAGTATGTAATCAGCTTTTCTTTTTCATGTTGATTTCCAGAACTCTAGAAAATTCTAAGTTTTTTTCTTTGGGAAAACACATTTTTCTTTCAGTTCTTGAATCTAATTTTCATATCTTTCTGTTTCAATAATTATTAAAATAACCATAAACAATAACTCTTGAAGTAAGCTTTATAAAATCTAACACATAAGCTGTAATCCAACTAACTTATTATGAAAAAAGACACATTTTAGAAGTATTACATTAAAATCACTTACTGAATTGAAAAAAGCTTTGTCATGCTTCAAAGAGAAACTTGTTTCAGAATTCTTTTTTTATTCTGGCATAGTTCTGTAAAAACTGAAATTTAAACAACAATATTCTTAAATTAAGGAATCAAAGAGTAACTTAATATTCTTTCATTTAACTTTTAAATTAATGCATTTCTTTGTTTCCTTTCTCATTGGCATATGTCAAAGTATATGATAATTTCTATTTGCACATGAACTAAAATTAAGATACATTTAGTGATTACAGAAAAGGGAGAAACTTGCAAGAGCTGTTGTGAACTAACTGTAGGAACAGATTTTTGTCTGCTTAGAAATATTTTCTACTACTTCATCTAATCAGAACAATAGAAACAGTGGCATGGGGAAAAGCTTTTAGTTGTCTTGGTTCTTATTGGAACATTTAACTTTTATTTTCAATTGTTTTGTTAAAAACAAGACGCTGACACTTTATAAATAATTGTTTCTTACTTTTCCATAGCTGTGGTACGCTGTCGAGCCAGGCAGAGATTAGAAAGAAGAGTAGAAGTGCCACTGAGTGGTGTAGTTCTTGGTGCAACTGCTATGCCTGCTGCAAGAAATTCTGCCATGGTCAATACAAGTCAGACAGCCACTGTCCAAGAAGGCGTTCAAGTCACTAATGGTAAGAACAAATAGCTTGGATGTGATACTATTTTAGGAACGTTGCAGATAAGGTAAGTACTTCACCAAATGTAGCTGTGCTGTGCCAACAGATGAGATTTAGACAAATCCTTCTCTAGGTCCATATTTCAACCCTGTTGCCAATATAAGACCTTTGTATAACAGTATGTCTGCAGTTATAGGCACCTTTGAACCTGAACCTTTCTGTTTTCATCTGTCTTGGATGTAAGGCTTGCACACATAACATCCCTCCTTTAAAAGAAAATAGCCTCAAGTCTAAAGTTAGCAAAAATATGTCCGTGTAAGCACTGCAAGGAAATATTTATCTGCAGGTTGTCCCTATTTGTAAGATGCATTCCCACCAGCAGACCAATATCTGCAGCAAAATGGATTGAAGAAGGAGTTCTTGTTTGAAAGAAGCAATAAAGCTTAGTAAAAGGATTGCTTCTACTTACTTTTAATCAGCGGATGACACAGTGAAAATCAATTCATTTGGAGATACACCAGCTTTTCATATTATACCTCTCCTTGAAACAGAACGGTAAAATGTGTAAGTAGTAAGAAAAGAATACTTGTTACTGCTGTATGCCTGATATTGCTGTTAATAGGTGTATCTTAACAGTCATAGTCACTGTGACAAATTATAGAATCATAGAATGGTTTAGGAAGTGACCTTAAAGATCATCTAGTTCCAAACCTCCTGTCATGGGCAAGGACACATTCCACTAGACCAGGTTGCTCAAAACCCCATCCAACCTGGCCTTGGACCTGGCTTTTGGAGATGAGGCATCCACAACTTCCCTAGCTAACCTGTTCCAGTGTCTCACCACCCCCACAGTAAAGCATTTCTTTCTAATATCTAATCTCAATCTACCCTCTTTCAGTTTAAAGCCATTGCCACTATTCCTATCACTCTCTGATAAAGAGTGTAGTGTTCTTCCTCCCCATTTTTCCCGTAGGCCCTTTATAAGTACTAGAAGACTGCTATCAGGTATCCCCAGAGCCTTCTCTTCTCCAAGCTAAACAACTTCAAATCTCTCAGTCAGTCCTCATAGGGAAGGTGCTCCAGCCCTCTGATCATCTTCATGGCCCTCCTCTGGACTCATTCCAACAACTCCATGTCCTTTTGTTATGGCCCCAGAACTGAATGCAGTACTGCAGATGAGGTCTCACAAGAGCAGAGTAGAGGGGCAGAATCACCTCCCTTGACCTGCTTGTCATGTTTCTTTTGATGTACTTTGGAATATGGTTGGCTTTCTGAGTTGCAAGTGCACATTGCTGGCTCGTGTTGAGCTTCTCATCAACCAACAACCCCAAGTCCTTCTCCTCAGGGCTGCCTTCAATTCATTCTTCACCCAGTCTGTATTTGTGCATGGAATTGCCCTGACGCAGATGGAAGACTTTGCACTAGGTCTTGTTGAACTTCGTGAGGTTTTCTTGGGCCCACTTCTCAAGCCTGTCAAAGTCACTCTGGATGGCATCCCTTTCCTCTAGTGTGTTGACCACACCACCCAGCTTGATGTCATCAGAAACTTGCTGAGGGTGCACTTAATCTCACTGTCCATGTTGTTGACAAAGGTGTTAAACAGTGCCAGTCCCAGTACCAACCCCTGAGGAATGCCACTTGTCACTGGTCTCCACTTGGACATCACACCATTGACCACAACTCTTAAGAGTGCGACCATCCAGCCAATTCCTTATGCACCAAGTGGTCCATCTGTTAAATCCACGTCTCTCCAACTTAAAGACATGGATGTTGTGCTGGACAATGTCAAATGCTTTGCACAAATGCAGGTAAATGACATCAGTTACTCTTCCCTTATCCACCAACGCTGTAACCTCGTCATAAAAGACCACCAAATTTGTCAGGTATGATTTGCCCTTAGTGAAGCCACGTTGGCCATCACCAATCACATCCTTAGTTTCTGTGTGCCTTAGCATAGATTCCAGGAGTATCTGCTTCATGATCTTACCAGGTACAGAGGTGAGAGTGACTGGCCTGTAGTTTCCCTGGTCTTCTTTTTTACCCTTTTTAAAAGTGGGTGTGACGTTTCCCCTCTTCCAGTCAGTTGGAACTTCACTGAGCTGCCACAACTTCTCAAATATGATGAATAGTGGCTTAGCAACTTCATCTGCCAGTTCCCTCAGGACCCACAGAGGCATCTCATCAGGTTCCATGGACTTGTGCACCTTCAGGTTTCTTAGATGATCTCAATCCTGCTCCTCTCCTACAGTGGACAGTTCTTCATTCTCCTAGTCCCTGCCTTTGCCTTCTGCAACTTGCACAGTGAGGCTTGAACATTTTTTGGTGAAGACAGAGAAAAAAGTCATTGAGTACCTCAGCCTTCTCCATATGCCGTGTAACTATGTCTCCTGTTTCCTTCTGAAGAAGGCACACATTTTCTCTATTCTTTCTTTTATCACTGATGTATCGATAGGAGCTTTTCTTGTTGCCCTTGATGTCCCTGGACAGATCTAATTCTATCAGACCTTTAGCTTTCCTAACCTGCTTTAGCTTTCCTAACATTATGCATTGTTACATTTTACCTTCATCAATTATTGCACCTTTAAGACATAACCCAAATTTGCTTTTGGGTTCAAAGTCATCCTGCTTTTAAGAAAAATTTTATTTAAAAATTATAATACGTGACATGAGACATCCTAATATGTGTTTAACAAAGCTGTAAATGAGGGGAAAGGGATTTCACCCATGCTCCAACTTTGTCAGAAGTGTAATGCATTGTATGCTGGTAAAAGATGAGTCAACAGAAGTTGCTATGATTGCAATCTATTAGTCAATCAGAGAGACAGGCAAACTTGGGTTTTGTTTCTCATTTATGACATTTAGAATCTGGCCCAGTCGAGGCTGTGCAGGAATACGGTGTTACTGAACTCTTCTGCCAAAGAACTGTGAAAAACTGAAAAGCTGTAAAATGTAAATCAAGATGCTTTACGTGCTTCCTATAAGGATGCAAACATGCCCCCACACTGCACACTGACCAATGTGGTCTTCTATCAGCAATTGCTGTCCAGATCTTTAAACACAATTTTTTAAATATGCTTTTAAAACAGGAGAGGATCTGAAGTTGAACTGTTAATGAGAGCTTGCACAGCATATACTTAGTGATGATTAGTTAATATTTGTAATTACATAGTTAAACTTTATATTTGCTCATATTCTGGTGTCAAATATAACTTATTGTCTAGGCATATTATTATCTTATATTCCCATATTATGAAGTGATAGTGATCGATCTTGCAAAATAAAATGTATATTCTTGCCTCTTTGGAGAACTCTAAATAGTATTTTATAATTTTATTCAACTTTGTGAGAATTGCTGTGTATTAAAATACATAGTACCTTTTTTGTACTATAGAGTAGCAGGCTTTGCTCTTTATTGACTTGTCACATATTAGGTTACCTTAAAGATACTAGAGCTATTTACCTCCAACATGGTGGCATCTGAATTGACAAGTATGACATACACTGAGCAAGTTGAGGCAGCATTTTGAAAGACTTGCAGATTCATGATGCATAGTTCTTGTTTTATTCATAGGAATAATATTTCATATTTATTAGCACTGGATTCTGCATATACTGCAAGACATTGATTTGGGACATTGCATCTTTTCAAGCAAGAAGTCTACTAATGAAATGCTTTACATCTTAGGTAGTAAGATAATTTATAACTCTGGTGCTTTTCATGGTTTTCAATGACAATATAATGTCATTATTGCTAGATGAATTTGATGCCTGTTAGGAATCAAATTTAATGGTATTATCTGAGCTTTCTGCAGTCTACCAGTAATAACATAAATAAAAGCGTAAACCTCTATGATAACAGCCTGGCAAGCTGTTTTTCATTTTTTCTCTTCCAAAGGAGTGATTCATCAGAGTGTGTGAGTGATGTGTAGTAAGCAGTTTTTATATCCAGAGATAAATGATGATCATTACTAGCAGATCAGATTTAAACAGCTACTACTGTGCTTCAGTATTTAAATTATCTGGACAAGTATAAATTCTTGGCAAGTGAAAAATCTTCAAGCTTGTCTTTTACATTAAAAGAATTCAGTTTCCTCCAATCCAGAAGATATAATCTGAAACAGAATATTGTTATAAATTCTCAAGACGGAGAGGACAATCTAAATACTGTTTAGCTAAAATGTTGTTGTTGAGAAGTTGTTCAGAAGTCAGTGAAGTTCCAGAGATCAAATAATTAAAGCTTAACGTTTTAGACATGGCCATTATATGGCCCTTTAAAAAATAATTTTCGATTTAATTAAATGCATATTTTTACTCTATATGTATTTTTCATCTGTTTTCTTACATATGGCTCTAAAGATACTGTTTCAGAAAAACAAATTTGACATTAATTCATCCAAACAAATGTGAAGTTTGTTATTTTTAATAAATTCTAACATTTATATTTTTAATATTTTAAATTTTAATATTTACTTTAATAAACAAGCTTTTTTAGTTTACTTCAAAAATTCAATACATAATACAGACATGTTTAGTTTTCCATGAGAAAAGCAGCAAACGTTCACAATTTGTCAGTTGTAGATATTTGACTGAAATTCAGATGTTTCTAAGCAACCAATCTTGACCATGTTATTGCGTGCAGTACACAGCCAGTTTATCTTCTGGCTGAGGAAAAACACTAATCAGTCCTGCTTTGTCTCCATGTTTGTAATCGTCCTTTGTAACCTGTCCCTTTCAATTGCTTCAGTTTATCACATAAGCCATAGGAGCTGAATGTTTATAATTAACTTCCCTAATCTTTATTAATTCATAGTTCTTCTAACAGCCCAAAGGCTGGTCTTAGCTCCTTTGTTTTTGGTTCTTATTTCCGGGAAGGTTTTGTGAGAGTTAATTTTTTTGGTGAATAGTGCTCTACAGGTTCTTGAGGGCAGCGCAGGCATGAGTGGTTTTTATGCTATGTACAAGTTTCACAGCTATGCTGACCTCTGACTAAAAAGATGGATGATTCAGTTGCACCT